TAAAAGAGAAAGCACCCCCCCATGAGGAATGGTCATGCCACTATCCCTTCTCCATTTCTTCTTTCAGGATTTAGGGTGCACATGCACATGCTCCCAGCATGATTTTAAAGGCTCCAGGTCTGGGACTCCAGGCAGTTAGCCTTGTGGAATGCAGCCACCTTGACCACTACCAGCCACATTACCACCAGCCACTGACCGGTCCCAGCTCTCCTAGAGTGTGTGCATTTTGTACCTTATTTGATCATGGTTCCCTTTATGTTTCCTTGGCAAAAATAACTTAGAACCATTGATGTACTGATGATGAGAAGTAACATGAGAAAGTTACATAATTGATACTTGTTTTTTTTTTTAATAGGTCTTCTTGACAATGTCACAGTTCTTATTGGAATTGCTTATGAAGGAAAAGCCATAGCAGGAATTATTAACCAGCCATATTACAACTACCAGGTATACTCTTAAGTGATACTGAAGTATTAGGTAAATAATTGTAGTGTTATGTGATTCCTTATATTATCTGTTCCAGAGATTTCTAGCTTGGTTGCATATGCCTGGTACCTTCGGGGACATTAGTACCGGGCATATAGACATGAATGTGTATTTACGTAAAATGTATGCATTATATATATATATGTTAATGTGTCCCTTATGATTCAAATGTAAAATTGGGGGAATTACTAATATAGTTCTTGATTAGCTCAGTCAACAAGACACCTGATTATAGGTGGTTCTTGAAGCACATTGAAGAAATGGACCATTTCAACCAAGAAAAGATGCTAGCCATGTGTTTTCCAGGTAATGCTTCATAGTGCCACAGTTATAGTCAGTATTAATAATAGAACTAAATATGCTTTTGCACCCTTTTCTCTTATTTTGTCTTTTCTAATCTGCTTTGACTTTCTGTTACACTTCAAAGAAATTGTCTTCCTTAAAAGCAAGAAACCAGTGAAATTTCAAACCAAGAACATACCACTAAATCACATTAAATTTAAAGGAAATTTTTAAATACTTAAAAATATTTACATTAATGTGATCTTAATATAAATACATTTTTCCTGCTATGTGATTATAAATTTTATTTATAATCATGTGTTTCTTAGGATTAATCAGTATAATTTTAGATCACTAAGACAGTCTTTCATGGTAAATTAAGTATCCATTAACTGTCTTGTAATATAACTTTAATGTTTGCACAGTATAATATACAGAATTATACGTTTGTGGTTTTTTAAGTAAAATTAGGAGTAAGCTCAAACTAGAAAGAGGATCGTTTAATTCACAAGATGTAATGCGTGGCACTTTCATTTAAAAAAAAGATTAAAGGGTTAGGAGTTGTTAATAATTTTCATCACTTCTGAGATCAGAAAAATTGTATTCATTTTCCACAGAACAATGAAAAGCAGAAGTTAAGGGAACACAGGAATGAAGCAAAGGTGAGAAAAGTAGGTAGGGTTTTGGCTCCACTACTAGGTAGGAAAGAGGTAGACCACTGTGGCTCCCGGGGAGCCATTGTCCAGCCCGTGTCCCAGTCCATTCTTCTCTTGCTCTGCTTCTCCTCTTCATTAGCTCTCCCTTTGCCACATTCTCTCTGTACCTCTCTTTATCCTCTCTTTTCCTTCTCTCTTGCTGATGCCTTAAAATTTGTTGAAACAAATAAAAGTTGTTCAGCTGTGGCGATAGTGTTCAAGGCTGAACACTTTAAATGATCATCATCATACTAAAAATAGTTTATCATCAAGCATTTAAGAGCTTACTGTGTGATTCCCGAGCTCAAGGGATTTACATGTATTATCTCATTAAAAATTCACAACAACCTTTTACATAACCACTATCTCCATTTTAAAGAAGAGAAAACCAAGGCAGTTAACTTGCCCAAAGTCTCCCAGTGGATAAATGGTAGAACTGGGATTCAAACTCCAGTCCAGGCTTTACTATTACTCTGCTTTATTCTTGAGCCAGATAAAAGACTTAACAATTCAAACTATGATTGCTTCTAATAGATACTGAAGCTGGCAATACCTTAGAGGAGATAGTGCCGCATGGTGTAAAGAAACCCAGTGTAGTTTTGTGTCAGAACTAGCTCGTTAACCATTCTAAATTTTTTTTATACTTGATTTAATATTATTGTTGTTGTTGTTGTTGTTGTTATTGTTGTTATTTTCATGTGACCAGAGAAAGACAGAAAGAGGGAAAGTGAGAAGCAAGCTGCAAGGTCCAGGACTCGAACTCCAGTCAGCCTTGTTGGAGTCCAGCACCCTTATACACCATAACACCTGCTGGCCCCCACCATTATAAATCTTTCTTTTTAATTTTTAATTTTATTTATTCATTTATTTAGTTTAATATGACCAGAGAGAGACACACACATGCACAAAGAGAGAGAAAGAGAAAGTGAGAAAGCAAGCCACCAGATCCGGGACTCAAATCATGGTCAGCCCTGTGGGAGTGTCCAGCGCCTTAACCACCACGCCACCTGCTGGTCCTCACCATTATAAATCTTAATGAACCCATCAGTAAGATGAAATGTTAGCATTTCTTACCCTCAGAAAATTAGTATGGAGGCTTTGAAGAAGATAGTGGAAGAGACTGCAAGATCAAGAACACAGAGAAAGGCCTGCTGGCTTAGGAGTTGGATGTAAAATTTTGGGAATTACTGGCATTGCCATGACCTCACCAGGACACCAGATTCCATGGTCCCTTCCTCTTTGTCTACATACTCAGTTACAGAGGGAACATGACTTCTTAAGGAGCAGAGTGCTTGTGTTCACCATCTGGTTTGGTTTCCTCTCTTTTTCAGAGTAATTGTAGAGCTGGAATTAATAAACACGTTTCTTGGAAGCATGGAATTGGCCTTAGCAACCAAGATAAAGCCTATTGAATGCCTAGAGCCACTGTAGAGGCTATCCATGCCTTTCAGACTCCAGGCCTCTCCTATGGTGTAGATTCAGAAGAGAGGAAGCACATTAACATCCATGGAGCAGCCAGGACTTGTTCTTTGGTTCCTTTGCTGCCCCATTTGCAGGGAGTGCTATCAGTAGTCAGCTCTTCAGGGACCGCCTTACCTGTGGAGAGCTATCTCACTCAGAGACATAACCCTCCTCAGTGCAGTCTGTTTCAAATGACTGATTACTGCAGGGCCTGGCATTTCATCCCAATTTGGGACCACCCTAAAGGACCATTCTAGCCCTAGAGCTCCCCACAGTCAGCTGAAGCTGTTGCTTGCCCACACTGCAACTTATGTACTCCCTCTGCCCACTCCTTTCTCCTTCCCTCACTCCCTCCTAGATGTGCTCCTCAAGTGTGCATCTTAGCACACATCCCCGTCTCAGATCCTGCTTCCCAGGGAACCCAAGCTGCAACCCAGGTACTACTCTAGGACAAATAAGATGATGTGTTTGAAAACATTTTGACAAATAAACTCAGGCACTCTTGTTCAGTAATGAAGAATCATCTTTGAGCACATGTGAACCTAGGTCTGGTTATGAACTTATTAGAGTTCTTGATCTGTTTACTTAATTATTCCAAGCCTCATTTTTTACAACTTTAAAATAAGGATGAGGGGCCAGCAAATGGTGTAATATTTACATCACTAGACTCCCACATGGTCGACCATGGTTTGATTCCCAGACCTGGGAATTAAAACTCATGCTGGGCATGTGTGCAAGTATGCCCAAAATCCTGACAGGAGAATGGAGGAGAAGGCCATCCCACCTGGGAAGTGATTTCTCACTTTCTGTCTGTCTCTCTGGTGACTGCATGTACCCTATAGCAAAAATCTCTTTAAAAAAAAAAAAAAGAGAGAGAGAGAATAATAATTATTTCATAGGGCTATTCTGAGGATTAAATGAGATAATACATGTAAAGCATTTAGTATGGTGCCTGGTATGTGCTTGGTGTTCAGTAAAATATATGTCTATATGTTTATAATATATGTCTAATAAATTAACCATATTTTAATGACTTGATATTGATCATTTTATACATCAGTTTTACTTCCTATGAAATACAAGTTATGGTTTTCTATGTGAAGTGTGTAGTTATAATTGTGGTTGAAAAATTCTTAGACCTTCTGCAAAGGAAAATATAGTTTCTCAGGTTGTATTTTCATTATTGTTTTATCATGACAATTGTCAGTAAAATATTAACCCTGACTCCCATGAACCAGACTACTCTTCACTATTAACCTATTTCAGTTGCTCTATTTTGTAGCAACAAAATACTCATTCTCACCATCACCCATTCTCATATGACCCTTATTGTTCCTTTGATAATGAAAAGTAATCAGTATTCCATGGTGTTCCATTTCCCGGGGACATCAGGACCTTTTAAAAATGGCTAATTTGGGGACCAGCAGTTAGCGTGATGGCTATGTCGCTGGACTCCCACATAGTTGACTGCAGCTCAAGGCCTGGACCTGGTGGCTTAAACTCACGCCGGGCACGTGTGCGTGCATGCCCAAGATCCCAAGAGGAGAATGGAGGAGAAGGGATTGCAGCGTGGCCATCCCCCCTGGGGGGTGATTTCTCGCTTTCTATCTCTGACTTTCTGATGAGCTCATACGCCCTATAGTAAAAACCTCTCAAAAAAAAAAAAAAAAAAGGCTAATTTCAAATACAACAAAAAGATCACTGGATGATTCTGAGAGAAACAGTAATCGGTACATGATTTCCCATGGGAATAAGCCAAATCTCCCTTCAGTATCTTTGAAACTGTTAGCCAAAACCACAATGAGAATTATCAGCTGATTCTCTGAAGAAAAGTTCTTTGTGAATGATATTGTTCTCATACTTTATATTATTATGCTTTTTTTTAAACCTCATGATAATGCTATAAATCAGTAGTTCATTTATACGAATGTTTTTCTCCGAATGATTACAAGTTTTGTTGTTTGACTCGTTTACATAGGCAGGACCAGATGCCGTGTTGGGGAGGACAATCTGGGGAGTTTTAGGTTTAGGTGCCTTTGGGTTTCAGCTGAAGGAAGTCCCTGCTGGGAAACATATTGTCACAACTACCAGATCTCATAGCAACAAGTTGGTTACGGACTGTGTTACTGCTATGAACCCCGACGATGTACTGCGAGTGGGAGGAGCAGGAAACAAGGTATGAAAAAGGTCTGTTGTCTGTCCTGAAATGGAATCGAATCATTAAAGGAAATACTGAAGTTTTTAAAAACCAGAAATAAGAGTTTAAGAAAAGGGATTAAAGATTATAATTTGCCATTAAAAACATGTTACAAGCAGCATTTAAGCTTTTGAAAATTTGAGGTTCAATTTTTAAATGTTTTTACATCAAGAACTGCTTTGAGATCTAATGAGGAGAAAAGCCCCTTTCCTCCCAAAAAGTATACCAATATAGTCTTTTCACTTTGTATAAGACTTAACACATTTTTTAAATGAAATGTTTAAAGGTGTCTGTGAAGAGTAGTGAAAGGAACAATGGGTTACCTTGTACTCACGGAGGTTTTCCTCATTTCAATCTGGTCTTTTTGTCTGAGTATTTGAAGTCTTGAGTTTTACAGTAAGAACTATTTTTCAGTATAACCAAAAAAAAAAAAAAGGCAGTTGATTAATGAAAGACTGACAACAGGTTGTTTAAAGTATTCAAGTTCTAGCAACAACCTCAATTTTGTACAGTATTATAGGAATTATTAGGATAATTACTTAAAAGTTTTTATTTTGGTAGTGGAGACAACAATATAGATGATTCTGAAGACTTATGCAAGTACTTGTTAGACTAGCATTGTATATCTGTTAGGACTTATTGCAGTTTATACATTATCGTATCACTTGTTTCTCTATCCTTTTATTTAATAATGGTCCATTTTTTAAAAGTTTAAAAAGTATAAATTTTTCTATAATAAATATATACATGTTGTTTTTATAGTAAGAAAGAAAACCAGTAGGAAGTAAAAGAAAACTTTACCTAACTTTAAATATGTAGACTGTTCAGATATCTTCTTTGTAGCTTAATCAGTTTTTTCCCTTCAGATTGCTATATTGTTATGCATCTATCCTATGTATTTCTTCATCATAATATCCTTCATCTAGACCTGCTAAAGCTTTAACGTAAGTTAAGTCTGACAGAGGAACTAATGAACTATCCTTGATAGAAACAAGCAATTTTTCTTATTTATACATCATTATCTCATGGTCAAGGGATAATTCATTTTAACCTTACAGATTATTCAGCTGATTGAAGGCAAAGCCTCTGCTTACGTATTTGCGAGTCCTGGATGTAAAAAGTGGGATACTTGCGCTCCAGAAGTTATTTTACATGCTGTGGGAGGTTAGTCCATTTTATTTTAAGGAGTTACAATTTTTTTTTAAAGATTTATTTAATTTTATTTTTACTACTATTTTAAAATTTGACCTGGGAGGGCAGAGTGAGAAAGGAAGCTGCCAGGTCTGGGACGCAAACCACGGTCAGCCAGGTGGGAGTCCAAGACCCTAACCACCATGCCAGTGCCAAGGAGTTATACTTTTTATTCAGGTTTTATATTATGTCAAGATATATTTCAGTAATAACACTTTACCTAGACTCTTAGGATATAAAGCTAGAAGGAAACTTAGAGGGTATCCAATCTAACTCTCTGATTTCATAGGTGAGAAAGTAAGTTTTCAACAAATTTGATTTTAATTATTTTCTCCTTTTTGGACTCTAATCTGCATATAGTTAATTTATTTTAAGCCTTATTAATTTATTACTTTAATGCTTTTAGGGTATTTTTTCATTGCAAAGCAAACTATTCATCATTGACATCACTTTTTTTCAAGCCAATATTGGTGAATATCTTAGTACAGTACTAAAGATTATGGGGTTAATTTTTTTTTTTTTTTAATTTAGGGACCAGCAGATGACATAATGGTTATGTTGCTAGACTCCCACATAGTTGACTGTGGTTCAAGCCCCAGACCCAGCAGCTTAAAATTCATGCCAGGCATGTGTGCAGGCATGCCTAAAATCCCAAGAGAATGGAGAATGGATTGCAGTATACTCCAGTGACATAGCCATTATGCTAACTACTGGTTCCCACATTTACTTTTTTAAAAACAATTATTAATTTTACTCATATTATTTTTTAATTTGCTATAGGGCACGTTTGCTCACCAGAAAGAGACAAAGTGAGAAAGCAAGCCTCCAGGCCCAGGACTCAAAACACAGTTGGCCATGTGGGAGTCCAGCGCCTTAACCACTACACCATTTGCTAAACCCTAAACAAAACAATTTTTAAAGAGATTTTCGTTATAGGGTGAATGTGCTTGCTGGAGAGACAGACAGAAAGTAAGAAATCACCCCCTGGGTAGGATGGCCACACCACAATCCCTTCTCCTCCATACTCCTCTTTGGGCACACACGCAGACGTGCCCAGCATGAATTTTAAGCTGCTGAGTCCAGGACTCGAACTACAGTTGACTACATGGGAGTTGAGCAACATAACCATTATGCCATCTGCTGATCCAATGAAACAATTTTTATTCTGTTATTTCACCTTCTATTCGCATATTATAGGGTGAGGAGGTTAAACTGTACTTTATCATGGGTCCATTCTTAGTAAGATATGAAATGAAACCATAATGAGTTATAGTTTATCAACATTTTTACTTAAATTCACATCAAATGAAGTGTTAATATTAAATAGGAGAATAAAGAAAACATCTTTAAAAATGTGATTAATAGTGATAAAGTATAACCAATAGGAGGAGTAATCACCTCAGAAGAAATTAATTGATATCAAGAAATACAAATTAATAGTGCTAGATGAAATTAATTGTGACCAGCACATGGTGTGGTGGTGAAGGTGGCTGGATCCCACATGGTCAGCTGTTTGGTTTGAATCTTGAACCCTGAGACTTGAGAAACATTCTAGGTATATATACATGCATTCACAAAATCTCTCAAAAGGAGGGGAAAATGGAGGAGAAGGGATTGTGGCACAAGCATCCCTATGGAGGGTGCTTTCTCACTTTCCCTCTCTGCCTCTCTCCAGTGAGCTGATGTGCCCTCTGGCAATTTTTTTTAAATTAAATTTTTAAAGAATTATTTTATTTAACTTTATTTATTTATTAATTTATTTCATATTCATTTCACATATTAATTTGACCAAAGAGGAACAGAATGAGAGTGATAGAGAGAGCATGAAAGCAAGCCACCAGGTCTGGGACTCGAACTGCTATTGGCCATGTGGAAGCCCAGCACTTTTAAGCACCATGCCACCTGCCAGCCCCCCAAAATTAATTTTATAAGAGAGAAAAAATGTTTTCATCCTTTCTGTCAGAATTGTCCTGTAATCTTGAATTCAAGTCAATTAAAACTAACCTTTATGGTCAGTCATTATCTTATTTTATCCAGAATTTATTGGCTACTATTGGATAGCGAAGCAGAAGGCACTTAAAATTTTCTAGAAATAGATCAGTCTCATAACCTAGTGGTCCCACATGGCTAACTGCTGTAGGAATCCTGGCTCCAACAGCTTTAAGAACACAGTGCATATGTATGTAACATATGCCCAAGATGCCAACAGGATGGAGAAGGGATTGTAGTGTGACTATGTACCATGAAGGGGAGCTTTCTCCCTCTTTGTCTCTCTCTGGTGAGCACATGTACCCTCTGGCAATAACAACCAAAACTAAAAACAAAAATGAGCAGAACCATTACAACCCAAAAGCCATCAACAATGTATTGATATATACTTTTTTCCTTAGGGAAATTAACTGATATCCATGGAAATGCCCTTCAGTACAACAAGGAAGTAAAGCACATGAACTCTGCAGGAGTCCTGGCCACACTGAGAAATTACGACTACTATGCAAGCCGAGTTCCAGAATCTGTTAAAAACGCACTTGTCCCTTAAAGTTTCATTTACATGGTTAGAAGAAGGACTTGGTTTTCAAAGTAATACATTTCAAAGCGAATTGGATAGAATTAGAACTCTGCCTTTATTCCTTGTTGATCAATGATTCCTATTTACTTAGAAGTAGAAAGTAGAATTTAAAATTTTAAATCAATTAATCAGTAAACCAGACCAATTATGATGTGGAGAATTTATAAACTCAGTATGTTATATTTCTTTTCCTCTTTTTATGTGGAGAAATGAAAAAGGTTTAGTTCAAACTGGCTAGCCAGGTCAATTGTTTAATCAACATTCCCATCCTGTAAACCAGATTTCTTTTGGTCACAGAACCATAAGTTGATCTTGGGATCTCATGCTTGTTTTTCATGGCAAGTTTTTGAAGTGTTCCTACTTAAGTTATGAATATATATAATGTTATGTGTGCTGATGAAACAGATTTATGTAGAAATTTCTTTAAAATAAATTATTTAGTTCTAATCCTTTATATATTGACCACTTCTTTGTAAGTATTTGAAAAGTGTAAGTACTCTTTTCATACTCTTACTCATAGTAATGAAGATTACTTTAATATTCTTTTTTTCTTCCTAGTTTTACCGTAGGGCATATGTGCTTGCCAGAGGGACAGAGAAAGAGAAGGAAAGTGAGATATTATCCCCCAGGGGGGATGTTCTCTCAGCAAATCCTTTCTCTTCTATTCTCTTTTTGGAATTTTGGGCACTCACGCACACACACACACACAGTGTTTTTCAGTCCATTGGGTTAAGGAACCATGCCATCAGCCATGTAGGATCTAGCTGCCTTGACCACCGTGCCACTAGCTGACCCAAGATTATTTCTTTCTTTTTAATTTTTTTTAAGAATAATTTAATTTTATTTATTATTGTTTTTTTAAGAATGATTTCATTTAACTTTATTTATTTAAATTGACCGGGGGGGGGGGGGGAAAAAACAAAGGAAAGTGAGAAAGCAAGCTGCCAGGTCTGGGACTCAAACTGCAGTCAGCCACACGGGAGTCCAGTGCCTTTATCCACCACCAGGTGATTGTGTATATAATGTATGCACCTGCGGTGTTGGGTTCTGGGTACAGTGGCAGGTATGGGTAACACACAGTCACCTGCCAGCCCCAATACTTTCACTTTTAATCTGTGTACCCTTTTGTTTTCATAGGATTTATCACTTTCTGAAATTAATCTAATTTTCTGCCTCACACTATTATAATTCGAGTTTCATATTAGAGACCTTTTTTTGCCTACTACATATTCCTAGCATTAAAAACACTGCTTGGCACACTGGATGTACTAAAATATATTGTTGAATGAACAATAACCCAAAATTACTATGTTGCTGAAATCTCTCATGGTGCCCTATGAGATACTGGGAAGAAATTTAATTGTAGTTTCTATTTTTTTAGAGTGAATTTTTGCTATAGGGTATGTGCGCTTGCTAGAGACAAACAGAAAGTGAGAAATCACCCTGTAGGGAAGATAGCCATGCCTTAATCTGTTCTCTCAGGATTTTGGATACGCACATACACATGCCCAGCATGAGTTTCAAGCCCAGCATGAGCTTCAAGGACTTGAACTGTGGTCAACTATGTGGGAGTCCAGAGACAATAACCATGATGCCATCTGCTGGTCCCAGTTGTAGTTTCTTGACTAGAACAGTTACACGTTCCCCACCCTATCATATATTTCCCCATCTTTGGCTTAGAGTCCAGTTTTTAAAGATAAACAGGATTTCATTTAGTGTTCTAGCTTGTCCCTCAGTGTCACATCCCCCTTTTTGTCTGCTTTCTTGAATCGAGTCTTTTGTTTTACCACCTGTTTCTACTAAAGTGGATTAAATCCTTTTCAGAGTAAGACAAGGATATAAGTAAACAAGTAGTTTAGCATGGCAAAATCCCAAGTGAGTTTTTTTAAGTTTCTTTGCCAGAAGGTATGTGTGCTCACTAGAGAGAGAGAAAACACTACCCTCCCCATGGGGCATGGTCACATCACCATGCCTTCTCCTCTGTTTCTCCATCCCATTGGGACTTTGGGGCATGCATGTACACACAATTAACAGTGTGCGCAAAGAAACCAATTTCATTTTGATATGCATAGACTCACTTGGAGAATTTATAAAATTAATTTATGGATTTTAACCTTAGAGATTCTGACAAGAATAAGGGAGGTCTAGGGGGAGAAGGCTTTTCCTGATGCAGATACCTTGCCAACTCCAGAAGCAAGCTTTATATAATTGTATGCACCTGCGGTGTTGGGTGCTGGGGACAAGGGCAGGTATGGGTAACTCCTCTACACAGTAATTACAATAAGTACTCAGTCTCATGGAAGATACAATCTCAATGGTACTCCCTAGCGAAAATGGGTGATTAAGAGAAAGCAAGGGTGAGAATGAGGTTGAGATGGTTTTGCATTCACTCCAGGGCTCCTTGAACTGGAATACCAACCCTTGGAGTATGCCTGGAGCATGCACGCACTCTCACACACTCACACAAGGAACTGGCAAGCACATTTGCGCAGTTCAAGCAGAGGCAAGACAAACTGAAGCAGCAATTTTTGTTAAAGCCTTCTATAAATAAGCCTTTCAATAATTAAAAAAAATTTTTAAAGAATTTTTATTTTATTTATCATTATTTTTACTTTGACCTGAGAGAGAAGAGAGAAAGGGCAAGAGAGAAAGCAAGCCGCCAGGCCCAGGACTCTAAACAGTCAGCCATATGTGAATCCAGCGCTTTAACCATCACACCACCTGCCGGCCCCCAATCGTTATTTTTAAAAACACAAATAATTTTATTTTTAAGGAATTATTTATTATTACTATTTAATTCGACCGGAGAGAAACAGAGAGAAAGTGAAAAGACAAGCCATCAGGTCCTGTATTCGAACAGCAGTCCACCATGCAGGAATCCAACGCCTTAACCGCCACCCTACCGCCCACCCCACCTCCCCTCTATTTTTTTCAAATACGCACATAAGTCTTGAAAATATTCTTTTGAAAAGAACATGAGGAAACGTTTAAAAGCTTACCCTATCCCTAGTGTGATTGTTCAGTTGGCGTGTGTGCTTTTGGGGCTCTTTCTATATGTACACACACACACGTGCACAACAATGTAAACACATCATCACGCACAATTTGCTTCGTCGTTCACACACACGCCCCCCCCCCCCGTAGAAACTGCGTTACTACTTGCTTTCTTCGCTTTACGAAGTGTCGCAAAGCCTCGTCCACTTCAACCTCTTTCCCACAGCTACGAGGACGCCACGTGGGGCCCCAAGCCCGAGCGGCGGAGGGGCGGCGGCGGCGCGCAGCGATGACGCACAGTGGCGTGCGCAGTGACGGCAAGGCCGTGGCGCGGGGGTGGGCCCAGGGCTGCGGCGGCGTCGGGCGCGCGCACACGTTGCATCTACTCGCTTTTGGCTGGTCTCGGGTGGTTCGTGCGCCAGGCAGGCTGCCTGATATTCTAGTCGACCGGTGGAGATGGCGACACTCTGTCTGACCGTGAACTCCGGAGACCCTCCCCTGGGTAAGGGGCCGAGTTCGCCGACCTGTGTGGGTTGCATCAGCCGAGGAGGGTGCGGGGCAGAGAAGGTCGCCGCGCCTGGGCTTTGCGCAGTGCCTGTCAGGGTCTGAGAGTTGGGCCTGCCCCGCACCTTCGTGGGCGCCGTGCCCCTCGGGCGTCGCGGTCTGTCCTTCCGTGGAGCGTCTGCTCCGGAGGCGGTTTTCCCGGCCTGGAGGGAGGTGCGGTGAGAGCCCCGGCAGGACGACACGAGGTTCAGTTTTGGACCTTAGAGGATGAGTCCCAGCCAAGTCCCCGTCTGTCCCCCGAAAACCCAGAATTGCTCGTAGAAATAATATTTTTAAAACTTAAAATCTCACTTTATCTTTCTGTCCTCCCTTTTGCCGTTTTTACCCCCTCTTAACCTTATCTTACCTCCTTACCCCTCCTCTCCCTTCAGAAAAAATCCTCAATCCAGTTGACTCGACTTTTCTTTTTCATTTTACCCAGTTCAGAGTGAACAAGGCGGACGATCTTATTAGCATTTTGGATTTTTCACTAAGGTTTTATTTACTTTTAAAGATAGGGTGATTGCAGAAATACCCAGGTATACTGCGGACAGATGGGGTTGGATTACTACACGCACACACATCCTGTGGATGTAGTAACTCAGTGACCATCGGACCTGTCACCTTCTTGATACAGCTTAAGTTCATTTTGAAATTGTTTCTTCAACGTGGCCAAGATAGCTTAGGATTTCTGCTTTTTCATTACTATGGGAATTTACATAAAAGGAGATTTAAGGATTGTAGATTGCCGATCTCATATTTGTTAATGCCTATGTCTAATATAGATGCATAAGCACTTTTTCATGCTGATGAAATTTACTCATTACATGTTCTCAATTTTGGTGGTGATCTGAGTCAGCTGGAACAAAAACAATTTAATACCCATTTTAAATATCTAAAAAATATTTTAGCATATTGGTTCCAGTAACTAGCACTAACTTTTTGATAGATCAATGAACTGTACAATAAATGGGTTTGGTTTTTGGACTAGGAAGGTGCTAGATGGTGTGGCCTCTTGATTGAAAGCAAAGACATTTGGTTCCTGGAGACCTGTCCGTCCCGGCTGCCATTTAGCTGTGGAACCTTGACAGGTTTTTCCACAGTTGCCTTGTTTAAGGAAGCAAAGTGATGTCTTCTACATAGGATTGGTTGCCAGAATTAAATGAGACTAGATACATGCCTGACAATTTTAGATATCCAGTAAGTAGCTATCATCGTTAGTAATGTTACTTAAAAGTCACTCTTTATTTAACTTTATTTATTTATTCTTCCATTTCAATTCGACCAGAGAGGGACAGAGAGTGAGAGGGAAAGTGAGAGAGCAAGCCTCCAGGACCAGGACTTGAACCACAGTCAGCCATGTAGGAGTCCCAGCACCTCAGCCACCACAATGCTACCCGTTAGCCCCCTAAAAGGGAGTTTTAAAGAAATTTATTGAACTGTAGGCCAATTATAGAATACATATTATTTTTCTTTTTAGTTCTTGATTTAAGTCTTCCAGGATGTTTAATTCAAATGCTGTTTTTTTTTTTTTTTTTTTTTTTTTAAATTAGATGGCCTGTTTAGAAAACTAGATTGTGTTCTAGGAACTTCCCCTATTTCATATGAATTCAGTTCAGCATGTTAAGTATTTATTTATTTAGTTGTCATTTGCTTAAGGACACTGTGCTTGACAGAGAGGGAGAGGGAGAAAGCATCCTCCATGAGGCATGGTCATGCTGCAGTCTCTTCTGCATCTCTCCATCCTGACAAGATTTGGGGCGTGGTTTTTCAAGCCACTGGGTCCAGGATTCAACTGTGTAGTCAACTCCGTGGAATCTGGCTTTCTTGACTACCAGGCCACCAGGCTAGCCCTGCGTATTTATTTTTTAATGTTAAAATAATTTCCAACAGACCAGCGTGTGGCGTAATCGTTATGCTGGTTCCCACCTGGCTGACTGTGTGGTCTAAGACTCAGACACAGCTGCGTGCGTGTGTGTGTGTGCGTGCACACACGTGTGCCCCAAATCCCAAGAAAAGAGAATGGATTGTGGACTGGCCTCCTCCCGTGGGGGATGCTTTCTCACTCCTGCCCCTGTGAGTGCATGCAGCCTATGGCAAAGTTAAAAAAAAAATCTTAGGAAAAGTAAATTATTTCAAGAACAGAATAGAGAACTTTTTTTCCATGTGCCACCTGAGAGCATTCTGCAGATAATGCTTCAGTACTCTAGAATACTCCAGTGTCCATCTTCCACAAGCTAGGAAACTCTGTCCTAACCCAACCATCACAATCAGGAAATACACATTAGTACAATTCTTAAATCTTATGCAGAGACCTCATCTTTTTATTTAACATTAATTGTTCCAATAATACCTTCCATGGTGTATAGTTCAAATTCCAGGATCATACTTTGTTAGCCCCTAGTCATCATGTCTCCCCATTTTCTTTCTATCTTGAATGGTTCTTAAGTCTTTCTTTGACTTTCATAGCTTTGACCTCTCTGGATTACAAGCCACATATTTGAGGAATATCCCTGATCAGTTTGTCTGATGTTTCCTGCTGGCTAGATTTGGTCTATGCGTCTTTGGCGAGAACAGCACAGTGATTCTTTATTCTTCATTGCAGTTCATCAGTTGGTGCATGAATTCACTTGACTCATTATTGATGATTCTTACATTGATTATTTAAGATGGTATCTGCTAGTTTTTCCTACTGCAGAGTTTTTTGTTTGTTTGCTTTTACAGTTATGGGCATTTAAATAGAGCGATGCTTTGGGATCATGTAACTGTTACCCTCTGACCATTTTACCCACTGGTTTCAGCCTCCATTGATGCCTCCTACCCTTGATAGGTATTTTGCCAAATAGTGACCTCTGAGTTTGCCATTCCTTCTACTTGTATTAGTTGGCGTTTTCTATGAAGAGAACTTTCTTTTTTCACTAAAAACAAAAACAGCAAAATATATTCAAGAGATCATAATCTTCACTATTTTTATTTTATGTTTAAAATTTTAAACTCATTGAGTTATAACTTGTAAATAATTATGTTAATCAGTTTTTAGTGTACAGATTGATTGAGAGAGATACAGTATGTAATCCTTACAGTGATGATATGGAATATTTCTGTTACTTCAGAAAATGGTTATTACCTAGTAGACACTGATACACTTTTTGACACTATTTTTTTTTTTTGCTTTTTCTAGAATTTTATGTACATTGAATCATGTCATTCTTTTGTACCTGCTGTGATGTTTCTGAGATTCATATATTTTGTTTCCTATAACAGTGGTTCCTTTATTTGCAGGACAGAGTGGGCATGCAAAAATTTATCTGACTTTGATGGTTAAATTACCCTGACTCACCTGGGGACTGCCTCTAAACTAGCCTCTGTCTTTTTGACTTTATCCCTTTCAGTGGAACATGGTATTTAAAACCAGTATTAGAGTGCCATTTGTTTATTTTAAGTAAATTATGGAACAAAGAGTTAATGAGTCAGTTTATTAAACTTAATTAGGTGTTTGGAGGTAGTATTAGACTGTGTTTTAGACATTGAGCTCTGGATTGCCTTAGCTCTTCATTCAAATCTTTACTGCCATGTATGTAGTTTAGGACATTGGGCTGGGTGGCTTATTCCCTTCAGGTCTCAGTTTCCTCTTCTGCACAAGGAGGATAAAGGTATCTACCTATTTTTTAGAGCATATAATGTATGCACATGAGAGAAGAGAAGAGTACCCTCCACAGGGCCTGGTGATGCTGTGGTCCCCTCCTCCAGCCCATCCTGGATCTCGGACACTTGAGCTCAAGTATAGTGTATTTGGGCTGACTTGGCTGGGGATGTAAGATCCAGTTTCTCTTGAGCAGTATATTACTGCTGGGCCATGGACCCAGCCCAAGGTATCTACCTCATAAGTTACTGCAAAGAGTGAATATTATAGTTACCAAAGCATTTAGCAAGTGCCTGCCATATAATAATCACTCAAATACAGTTAATGAGTGCTTTTATACAAGCCACTGCCCTAATTTCTAGACTCCTGTGGGAGAAGAAGATTAATTTCAATATCTCTAACTAGAAATTGAGCATATTCAAAAGCAATTGGACTCTGCTAGTGAGTGGATTTTTAAAAAATAATTACTTATTTGATTTCATTTATCATTATTTTAATTTGCTGTAGGGCACCTATGCTCACCAGAGAGAGAATGGGGGGAGGGAGGGCATGGGAGTGAGAAAGCAAGCCCTCAAGTCCAAGACTCAAACCAGGTTGGCTGCGTGGGAGTCCAGTGCCTTAACCAGCACACCACCAGCTGGCCCCAGTGAACAGATTTTCATTTGTTATCTCTATAAGTTAGAAGACTGTGCTGGGGGCCAGCAAGTGGCGTAGTGGTTAAGGCACTGAACTCCCACATGGTCAACCACAGTTGAAATTTTGGACCCCATGGCTTGAAACTCATGTTGGACGCATGTGTGTGTGTACTCAAAATCCCAAGAGGAGAATGAAGAAGGGATTGTGGCATGACCATTCTCCCGGAAGGTGTTTTCTCTCTGTCTTTCTATATTTCTGTGTCTCTGGCAAGCACACATGCCCTATAGCAAAAATCACTCTCAAAAAAAAAAGAATATACTTTTTTTTTTTTTTTTTTTTTTTTTTGTATAGGCGGAGTGTT